GCTTGATAATGCTTTCTTCTAACCATTACAAGATGTATATTGTAATAGATAAATTAACTACAGGGTCTTATATCTACTGTCACAAATACAACATTTAGTTATTACAAGTAAAATAGTTTAGATAGTTAGACCACCTCCATCAATGTTTCTATAAAAGGAGTTTTCAAACTATAATTAAATAAAAAATAACATTAAAATAGAGAATGTGTATCTAAAAATAGTGAGAATTCCACCCAAAAGTTCTCGAATGAGAATTTTGAAAACTTTTTGGATGGGGTTCTCACCATTTTTAGAGCACCTCCACCAATGCTATGAGTATCTAATATTATAATTTTGAAGAACAAGTGTGTTTAAAACTTTAGCTATTACAAGTAAATTAAATTACCAACCTTGATTTTCCCAACTTGTATAACAAAGACAAACCCAGTATTTACACGATACTAGTGTCACAAACACGATACTAGTGTCTGTTGAGTACGTTTACTAAATAAATCATAGTTCCACTATTAATATTAAAGTTTCATATATCATTGGTAAAAATTGAAAACTAAATCCTTTATTTCATATCTCAAAGGTGAGTTTGAGTTTCATGTCTTGAATCTCTTTTTTTTCAATGAATGTTAAATTATATTCAAACCAGAAAAAAATAAACTGTTTTACATGAATTTACCAAAATTTTAATTAAATTTTAAAATAACCTAAATTGTAAGTCTACTGAGTCTTAAATAATTGGCTTAGGCCTTCATCAGATCCCCTACAGCTCGGATCGAGTTCAAACGATTGTGCATGTTTTTATCCACCATTTTCACAATGATTTATGATGAGTTCGGATTCTCTATGTGGCGTCGACAATTCCGCTCTTTCGAGATATGGTATTCCGTCGATTGAAGGAGATATTGTATCTCTGTTCTTGATACGGTATCTCATGTCTTGAATCTCAGACCTATCAAAAGTCTCGGTAAGACTATTGTTAACAATTCGATCGATGATGTCTAATATAGGAAAAACGATTCTATACCAGAAATATCAAATGCTTAATTACTAGTTATTCTCGATCAGTCAATCACAAATATATTTTTGAGAAACAATCCTAGCTCACGTTCAAAAATATTAAACATTATTCAATATTAATATGCAACTTACACTTGCCAATTAAAAACTCATTGCCAATGTTCTATGCGTTGACATCATCAAAGATGTAATTTTCAGTCCATATAATGGATCTCGTAAATGCTCACACGTCTTGATAGAAAACCATCTTATAGTGATGAGTAACACGAAGTATTCAACAGTACGAAATAGATTGAAGTTGCATGGAGGCATGAATCTTTGTTCCCTCTAAAAAAGAGAAATGAATTGAATTAGAGACATAAAATGTATAGAAAGTGCTATAATATGTATAAACCGTAACTATAGAAAGACATTTGCATTGCAGAGCACCATTTCAAATGATTCACCATACCGCATGCACAAGATTTTTATTTTTGTCCTCCAGGTATTTTTGAATGGCTTCAATTCTACAATTGAATCGAAAAGAGACATTATTGCTTTATTTTCTGAAGTAATTTGTATGTTGTGAAAGTTTTTTGTTTTTGTGATCCTAGTGTTTATGATTAACATTGCTTTATATAGGGAAGGAAATATGATATCTTCACAATTGATATTACGTAGAAAGGTAGGCACATGTTCTAGCGAAAATTTTGGTAAGAAACACATTCACGATCAGCGAATCGAATCTCCTGCAATATTTGGAAGTATAACCAATGGTTCCTTGATATACTGGACCACGAATGGTACCGCGGGAAACAGACTTTGAAAACTTTGTCTCTTTAGTATGAAATAAATCGTACCCTATATTTTTTTGGTGACAGAAGGTAGCACTAACACTTAGTCAATCACTGGATCAAGAAACTTTCACATTTAATAATACTTAGGATATAAATATTTTTGTGAAGAATTGTCAGAAAATTGTGAATTTTTGGTCGACAAAAAAAATACTCAACGGGCTCGTTAAATTATTTTATGATTTGGGCTGTAATCTTGTATGAAAGCCCGATTAAAAAAGCGCTACTGCATAATATCAAGTTAAGGTGGGCTCGGATGAGGATATCATCCTCTCTCTACTTTCAATAAATTTTTACTTCTCTCTTGTTAGAGTGGTGCATTCTTTGTTTTCTGGTTGGTGCCTAATGGCACTCTGCATTTCTATGTACTCTGTTACTCCCCTCGGGGGTCGTTCATTTCAAAAGTGTTCAAAAAAACCAAAAAAAAGCGCTACTGTGATAGTTGACATTTGCATTATATATGTGATAGATAGGGCTGGTCAAATTATCCGTTAAATTCGTTCTGATTCGATATTCGTTTTGATTTGATCGAAAAAATCAGATTTCCGTATGAATCAAAGCAAAACAAATAGTAAGATTTAGTATCCGTCTAAGTCGAAGCAAATCACAAATACTAATTTTAAAAATCTGAATATCCGACCCGATATGTATATTATTTATATATACATGTTAGTATGGTAGATTTATAATGTATATTTACATTTTTAGACTTTTAATATATTTGGCAAAATACTTATAGTATAAATAAGGTAAAAATGAGTAGATATTAGCTTTTTAGTTGAAATCTATTTTTCTTTTTATTTTATTTTCTTAAATAAAAAATATATGTTTACTTTTTTCACCATTATAATCTTCTACTTTTCATTTCTTTAATTATATCGAATAGAACTAGATAATTTCATATATTTATGCATTAGTTAGTTTAACTATTATACTAAAACAATTTTTCAAAAAAAAATGTTACTTTAATTATTATTTTTTGTTTAAAACATATATTCGTGAATATCCAGATATTCGTAAATATCCGAAAAAAGATCTGGATATCCCTAATTCCGGATATCCAAAAAATTTCGAAGCAAATCAAATCGAAAAATTAGATATCCATAAAAAACAAATTGAATCACAAATACTATATTTTCCGAATATCCGCTCCGCACCCAACCCTAGTGATAGATTAGTCATTTATAAAAGGGTCATTTGCAAAAATAACCAAGAAAAATAATAAAACATAATATCTAACCAAAACACCTAAATCTAATGGCTATAGTTTTGCCACATAAAGGTGTTTTGGTTAGATATTAGGTTATGTTTTTTTCTTGGCTATAATTGCCAATTTCCCTTTATAAAATCAAATATCTTTTCTCTTCTATAATAGTATATTAATTTGTGAAAATGAAATTACTGATTAAATCATATTTTAATTTAGTTTGTTTATTCGTTTGTAAGCCAATGTTTTACATTACTATCAAATTGAATGTATAAATAAATAAAAATTTGTGGTATTTTTATAAAATATTAATACAAAATATCATTCTCAACCCGATGGCCTTTGGTTATATTTCGAATAGACTAAAATTATTAAGAGAACTTCTTCTACCAAAGTGAATCGACCTAATTTGTGCATGTCCCCTAAGACTATCAACGTTGAATAATACATTTGAATCTTATTATAACATGTGAAGAAGAGTGAGAGGACTTTTCTC